GGCAGGATTTTTAATCCTTTTCCTGCCCACATGAACAGGTTTGTGCTGGGGTGTCCCACCTGGGCAGCCAATTCAATAATCTCCAATAAATCCTGGACCTCATTAATCCCTGTTCTGTCACATCAATCCCATCATTCGAACAGAAAATCTTTATTTTTGCTTCACTTTGTGTGTTCCACCTTGTTTGGGCCTTTTTTTGGATCACCTAAAAAGTGATTTTACCAAAAAGGTAAAAACAAAGACATGCCTGCATATTACTGAGCCTTGTAGCTGAAACCTGCCAAATTTTTTTTGGAGTTTTACCATGAAAGCCTTGATTTGAGGTGAGTAGGAGTTTTCCCATGCTTAATACACACAAAATAAATACTGATTTATTTTACTTAAATTAAATTCAAGATCCTCTGATGGGATCTTAAATGAGTGTGACTGCTAATAGCAGAATTCAGGATGGAGGTGACTGACTCCAGGCCTTGTTTCACACCTTGCATTCCCAAGGAGTTTTCCTGGTACCACCAGGCTCTTCAATTCCTCTGCTCCCTGTGGATGTCCAGGGACATCCAGTTATCCAAAGGAATCGTTTTCCATCATTAAAATGGGAACAAATCAGCTGAATGTCCCTCCAGGAAGCAAAAGAATAAACTACAAGTGGAAGAGCTGAATAAAGAATTAAAGTCTTGCTCCCAGGAAGGGACACAGTGATTGTTCAGCAGGGTGGTACCAGACATTGCAATGATAAATTGCATTTTTTTAATGCTTGAGGCTGAGTCAGGAGAGGTTTAGGTTGGATATTAGGAAAATCTTCTTCTTTTAGGAAAAGGTTCTTTTTTCTATTAGAAAAGGATCCTTGGACTCCCTGATCTTTCCAACTCAGGGTGTTCTGGGAATAATTTAGGTTTTATTTAGGATTGGAGGGGTGAGTTCTGAGCCATGCCATGCAGCACCAGGCTCCTCCAAGCTCTAAATCAAGCATTAAATCAGCATTAAATCAAGCTCACTCTGGGTCAGGAATCCCCTTTTCCTGCTGCTGATCTCCCCTTCCCCTTTTTTCTGCCCCTCTGTGCTCCTGCAGCTGCCCTTGGGCAGGAACAGCTCTGAGCCATGAGTGTGTTCATGACTGACCATCTGTACAGTGATCAAAAATATTAATAATGAGGAGAATTCATTCTCCTTTGATCCTGAAACCTCTCCTGCCCTCAGTGTTTTGATCAGCAGCCTCCTTGCTGCTTTTCCTGAGGAATATAAATACACCCTGCACCTGCTTTTTCTCTCTGAGTGTTCATTTCAGGCCAACCTCGAGGCAGTTTTGGATTTGCTGTGTTACCCAAAGAAATACATTTCAGCTCTGCATTGTGCTCAGTTTCCCACAAAATTTTTATTATATTATTTTAGTAGATTATTATTTTCATAGACTATTATTTCTATGGTATACATTTTAAATTCTTACTTTAAAAAATCACACCAGGCATCCTGAAAGAGTTTTCAGCTCTGAGGAACCTCTTGGTTTCAGGGTGTGACCTGATGATAACACAATTTTGGGGTGCTGCTGTTGGGTTGTACCAAGCAACTGCACCATGGAAGTTTCCATCAGCTCCAGCCCTTTCCTCTATATTCCATTATTCCTGTGTGGTAATTGTGCCTGGCAGAGCCTGCTGGAGCTGTGACACTCCTGGAGTGTCCAGGAATTCATTCCCAGATCCCAGGATCATGGCTGTGCCTGTGACACCCCAGGAGTG